CTTCTCAGTTACGGATGTTAGGAGGGGGTAGAGGTAGACCTACAATAGATTACTGTTTGCAAATAGTTAAGAATGTGGATTGCTCTAGCTTTATGTAAATGCGAAGATTAGCGCAGGATAGGAAACACTGGAAGTCCAACCAGTCTTAGGACTGACGACCTTATGATGATGATAATGATAATAGGTATAATGCCTCCAAAAATTAACTTTAGGGAATGCCTTAATTTTTGTGACAATAATCCAATTAGCTATAAATCGTTGAAATATTGTATGATCATTAATAACTGCGTTTTGCGTTTGTATTTCAAATATTGTTTATCCGTTATATGATATCATATCAAGAATCAGTATGTATATGCATGTATTTGTCTTAAATCTTATTGCTGTGTTCAATAAAGTGTAAGTGACTTTTTGATTTCGTGAATAAAAAGGTCATAATTTTGATTTTCACCAATGTTTGACTTTTTAGGCCCAATTAAATCCCAATCATATTTCTAAGCATCAGTTATTGGGCAAACCTAAATAATTTTCTAATAGAGCTAATTAAGGTCCTAATTTGGTTCGGATTAGTTAGTTACGAACAGGGAAGTGCGTTATTTTTCTAACTATAGGGACTTCTTCGGCTGCCTCATTGCGAACGAATGAGGAACTCAGTTGGCCTAAGAAGGGCTTTAAAAGAAACGAACCGAAATTTCTAGTCGAGTAGTATAATAGTTTCGTTAATTCTTCTACAATGAAACCACATTATTAGTGTAGATTAAATATTAATCGTATATACTTTAAGCAACTTCAAGCTTGAAGTGCATTTTCCCCTTTTCCGGTTATCTTTCCAAGGTACGTAAAATATTTGTGTAAATGATTTCGAAAATCTTAGTTGACCTTTACGATGTTTCCTATTGGTCGTGCAGCACTAAAATTTTCGAAGCGGGGACGCTAGAATACTGTTGTTTCAGGGCGATAGGCAATTGTCCCTCTCATTAATCAGTCGTACGACCATGGCTCTCTTGTATGTCAAACGCAGTCGGTTGAAGAGCTGCCCCGAGAGTTTCATCCAGCTAATTAGCACACCCCACCCACTCAAATGCCACCATAGACTTCACTTTCTGTAAGGAACCTTGCATGTCTATGTTTGATCGATATTTGAAAATGCCTTAAAACGATTAAACTTTTTTAACATTAATTTGCTTCACTTACAATGAGAAACCTTACGAATTCAAACATCAGTTACATGTTTCATTAATTTCTTAAATTTGTTATCAGTTAGCGTCACCCTCAGCGTCATTGCTTCGACCTATTATTAAGTTAAAATTAAGGGTCAAGTTTTTGCCCTGACATGTACGGGAAGGCTTTTTTATTTTTAAGAGACACCGGGGTCATCCTCGTGCGGGACATCATCGCTTGAAACGTTAAATGAAATGAGGAACAGGTTCTATTATTCCATAATGCGAGGTTGCATAGGTCATAGGTCGGGATATTCCTATACGGGACCCCTTTCTACCTGCAAAACGAGTTGGGCACGCGTCTAAAACATGAATAAAGCAAATTATGTAGAATGCAGTTGTGGTTCGGTAAAATGCTTTGACATTTATAATATAAGATCAAATGCTTTTTTGTTTGTTGTTTATTAAATGAGTGTAAAAGAGCATGAACCATGGAGGAAGGACTAAATGTTTTGCTGAAAAATTAAAATGTTTCTTATTAGAATTACAATTTAATTTTTAATTAAAGTACAATGAATAAAAATAATTATCGTCATCATCGTCATAAGGTCCTAAGACTGGTTTTACATGCATCTCCACTCTTTCTTATCCTGAGCTAATATTCGCATTTCCCTAAAACTAGAACATCCCACATCCTTATTATTTGCAAACAGTAATCTAATCTAGGTCTACCTCTACTCCTCTTAACTCCTGTTTCTGCCTCTAATATGTCTCTGACTAGACCTTCAAACTTGAGAAGGTGTCCTACCCCAACCTATCTCGCCTATTTTTTATTGACTTCCATAGAGTCCTCTGTTCTCCTATTCTTTCTAATACCTCTTCATTTCTAACCTTCTCTATCCACGGGATCGTTATTATTCGCCTGTAATACCATATTTCGAATGCTTCTAACATTTGCACTGGTATAGAGCTGTGCTCCAGACATATATACCTTTAACAATCTTTTTCGAATTCTAAAATTAACCATTCACTTTTATTATAGTTATTTTACATAAAGTTTTAGAATGGTTAAATAATAAATTCTATTATATATTTTTTTTATATTAAGTCTTTTTGAAGAGTGGGTACATCAGAAGCATACTAATAATATTAGATGATTTACGATTTTCAGTTAAGGCGATGAGTATTAGACAGAATTACAACTGTTTTACCGATTTGATTTAATAATTTCGTTCACCATATTTGCCCCTTTTTCCCTATTATTTTGATAGATAGCTCATTTCATATTATGCATTTATGTAAAAGTCACACAAAATTTTTCGACCGTCAAACATCATTACAACAAGTGGTTTGCTTGTGGAATGACAATTTAAATTAATAATCACACGAAAAGGTCATGCAACCTGAAAAAGAGCCATTTTCAATTACCGCTCAATTCATTTAATAAAACAGTCTTTTTACGCGACAAAACGCAGGTGAACTCGCCATTATTTGTTTTAATAATTTCATTATTTGTTTGGAACCCGGCCACTGGTCGATTGTGTCGATCATTTCGCATTGGTATTCAACGGGTTTTCCATTCACTTTTTATTTACGATAACCGCCTCTCCGACTGTTGTCAAAATACATTTGTGTATCCACCGAACGCTGTATACCGCTCAGAAATATGGAGCGATACTCCTACTTGGTAATGGTATCGAAAGAACGTATGGATACTTACTCGGTTTCATCGATACTTTTTGACATGAAGGTAGACTTTAAAGATAAATAACACTATTACGAACTAGTTAGGAGTTTACTTTTGAAGTTTGAAAGTTTACGATAAAAACCTGCATTCCTAGTAAGTACCACATAAAATAATATTTTATCAAGATGGTTCCTTGTATTAAGACGATTTAATCATGTGACTATTGTACTCCAATTTATTGAAAATAATAACTATTACAATACATGGAATAAATTAATCAAATAAATGGATTTACAAATACAGTAGAACCTCTTTAAGTCGAACCTCCATAAGTCGGAAACCTTCAAAACTCGAAAAAATGTTTTGTTCCCTTCCCTTCAAGCCCCAAAACCTCCATTACTCGAAATCTCAACCCTCTATTAGGCGAAATGATCAGTGAGTCCCTGTAAGCCATTTTGGTACATATTTTCCCTCTATAACTCGAAAATAATTGTTGATTTATAATAAATAAAAATATGTTTGTTACCTCTGTCAAATCAAAATCCGCATGAGTCAAACTCCTCCATAAGTCGAAAACTCTGTAACTCTTTTCTGGCGTTTCTCTTGATGTTTGAGTTATAGAGGTTCCACTGTATGACAAAATGTTCCTTTCAACCAACTGAGTACCGATGGAAGTACTTTTTAGATACTTGCTCATTGCTTAGTTTGAAGGAATCGATACCAAAAGTACTTGCAGTATCGGAAAGAATGTGGATATCGAGTAAGTAATCGTGATTACTTGTATGATTTTATTTCTAATTGAGGTAGAAATAACCTAATTTCCACCCACGACTAGAGCATCACTCATTGTCAGGTCTAATAAAAACAAAAAAGGTCAATTACTTATGTACCGTTGCTCGCGCAATTTCTGTCATTTGCTGCTCGCGGAACTTCCGCCACATGTCTAAATTTTACTCTCAATGCGCCAAAGCAAGTATAACCTTAGAAAAATCTAATAGCTTCAGTAAAGTATAAATATTTTTTCTATTCAACAAGTTGCACGTGGTGAAAAATCGAGTTAAAGAAGGGATGTTTTCGCGGTTGTTCATAAACCAGATTAAACAAGGACACCTGATGGGGTTGCGGCATGCCTGACCCAATACAGCAAATCAAATAACACAGATTGATACGCAATATGAAGGAAAAATGTTACCCTTCGACACACTTGCAAATAGGTAACACATATTTACGTTGGTAGTAGGTATAGGCAACCTTTAAAACCTCCAGCCAAATGAATTCCCCGATTCTGAAATTCAATCTACTATCGTCTAATCACGCACTGCAAACACAGGTTATATAATTATACGGGTTGCAGAGGAAGCGAGAGGGAGCGCTTCGCTTGCCCTTTTCATCTGAAATTTACCCCTCCCGCGCCGGGTTGACAGCCAAGCCTCTGGGGGTGGCATATGATGAATGAGATGAATACTGGCTTCGTTAACTACGAAAGGCTTTAATTGCGTCTCCAAGGATTTTCGCTAGAACCAGTGCTGAATTTTAGCCGACAAACTACAACGGATTGAAAACACCACCACCCTAAATGTCGTCTACTTTCTCATTAGACAGTCCGTTCAGTTTTCAATAACATTCCGTGCACATTTTAGAGAATATCCCAAAACGTAAAATTAATTTGAAAGGAATGCTTTGATTCGGTTGTAACTTAAAATTATTTTTGAATATGTAGAAGATTTATGTATACAGTATGGTCTGGACCAATAATAATAGATAAAGTGATGATTTAAAAATTAATTAAAAATTATACGGGTTAATTAAATCAAGGATTTACATGGAAAAAAGTTATTTCACGAAGTAATGCTTACATGAAAAGGGTAGACAAAAATTGCATTTTTTTAATTTTGAAGTTAGGCTGTGTGGATATCTACAGCTTCTGTGAAAATTCGGTTTCAGCGTCACAAACTACTTTGGAAATGACCTCTTTGTCTTATTTTCTGATCTAGATTGATCTCAGTCGTAAAAAGCTTTAGGAAAATATTCTTCTGTAAATACATCTAAGTACATTCTTATTTTAATTGTTTAAACAAACCAGTACATAATGTACACATCTATTGACTGAACAGTTAAAGTTATAAACATATAATATCATTTTCTTGTTCCAGGTAAAAGAAATTCTCGTGCTAGTCCCTAAGAGGTTTTCCGGATTCCTGGTAAGTCTACCAAATTTTGTGTATATTTTGATATAAAGTGTCCATATCATACGTAAAGTAATTGTAATGTATGATTTAGTATCACGAAAATACTTCAAAGTATCAACTAAGTGAAACCTCCTTTTTGAAGGGCGTATTGTATAAAAGCTGAATTCAACCTCTGAAGGGTTAAATTTAGCATGTGTTGTATCTTTTATATCTATCAAATAGCGGTAGATGTATGGTCTTTTAAAAATAGTAATTTTGCTCCGATAAAAAATCGAAATATTTGAAAAATTCAGTAGATAAACGATAATTAAATTTTTTTCATTTTCGCAAAATAGTCAGCCTAAATTGCCGTTGGTGGCGGGATAAAGATGACATAAATACCAATCGTTTTTGGGTCAGGGTCGCCGGTTAACGGCTTTCATTAATTTGTCCAATCGATACAGCATTATCGGCCTATAATGATGTGATAATGAACACTAGTCAATCTGCACCAATGATCGGCTTGTTATACTGTTATGTGCAGTGTGGTTTTACCGGTGGCAGGAGTGCGGTCCGCAGATGTGTTACCTCAGGTACGAGACCTGACCAACAGGTAAACATTACGCTATTAGGCCCTATTTTATGGGCGGGATATTTGCTTTAATGATTAACTAACTGAAAACTAAGTCGCTTTTTTTCCTGCGTTTGTCATATTATTTATACCGCCGTGAAAAGATTTTTGAAAATTTTTCTAACACAACTGAAGACCACAAACTGATGGCTACATAGTTTTTTTTTTGGATAAATATTATAATGAGTAGTGTATTATTTTTTATCCTCCCGTCTATATTTTAAAATTAGTTCGCCAATAGTAACTAATGAGTTGGTGTTATCTTTTTACGTTGCCATCAACATTAATTTTATGGATGCTTAATAGCCTAAAAGGTCGCTTATTTTGATTGGTAAGTTTGTCTCTGGTCATAATCAAGTGCTGGATAGTTTGTAAGCTGATTGGATACTGTACGATGTATCTAACATTGGCAAGTATTTCTATGGACTTGCAGGTAGCTTATAAACTATTTAGTCAAAAACAAGGTCATGAAATTATTTGATCTTTTAATTATTAAACGAACGATTGATTACATGTCCTCTTTGTAATGGCACCATTTTTAACGTTCGTCGTACGTTTCCCTGCAACTGACTTGAATTAACGGAATCTCCCCTAATTTTTACGTCTTAAGAGAATTTATCCTTTAATTTATAAGCGGTGAAACGGTGGAAGCAACGGCCTTATCCCCCTGGAAAAGGAGAATGCGAAGGGTTGTTTTAACGAACTCGCATTCCTCCAAATGACGCTGCCCATTACTTCCCCTCGCTTGCAAACCTTTAGAAACACGTACGAACTCTGTGGAGATTAAAGATGCCCGGAGAATTAAAGCCACCAAGCCACATTTTCAGAGGAAAGGTAGGATTACATGTTAGCTTCAACCTTAACGTCCTCCAGTATATCTATGGGTATAGATAAATGTTTAAGTTAAATGAAGGTGTTGACGAAAATAGTGTATGATTATACGAAAGTATATCCTTTCTTCCTGGGTTGTAAATTGCCAAAGCGCAATTCGTCACTAACATATGGTCCTTCGAGCCGGATTGTTCTGATACATCTTGATTACCGTGACAACTCACAATAATTTAATGTATTTTTAAGATGGAGAATATTATTTATTTATTTGTGTTGACATATGATAATTAGTGAATATTTTGGTGACCCGGCTAATATCGTCTCGTTATTAAGGTATACCTGTTTTAACGGTTTAAATTCGCTCTTGCACTTTGTAACCCCTGTGTCCCTACCAGTTCATTTATAAGTAAAAGACTTCGGTACGGTCACCCCTTTTGCACACGTTTCGCCCTTATTGATAAAATAAAGACTAGAATTCTGCAGTGTTGTCCACGAAATGTGAGGGAAATTAAACGTTTAAATAATTAATAATTGCAAAGAGGTCCTTAGCTTTTATTCACAATTCGTTACTCTAGGCAGTTTATACATTCTGACTTTTTTAATAAATTTACTTGCACTTCGAAAATGCCTTTAAATAATACTTGTAAATAACTAGTCTTCCTTTTTTGCATCAAATGAATTTTTTTGTTTAAACATCCTGTTTTCGCCGTAAGAATATTTTGGGAAATACTACGAAATTATTAAAAGAAATTCATCTGACAACCCCGATTCTTGATTCTTGCGCGTTGCCGCCGAACGTGCGATTTAGAAACTTCGTTCCAGTGAATAATTATTTTTATTATATTTAATTTGTTGTGAAAGTTTACAGTTTTGAAATAATTTGCTAAAAGTTTATTTCGGGATGAACATCAGTAATTAGTGGCTATAGCCTAATCCTATCGCATGCGGCTGAACGAAAGTTGTGTAATGGGAGGTACGAAATTAGTGCAAACTTCTCCTATTATTTGCTTATTTATTTACACGTCGGGGATCGAGTATAATTGCCGAAGTTGGTCAGGAATAATTTAAAGTTGGAAATGAACTTTCCTCTCTCGTCGTTTTAACGAAAACGCGAATTGAAAATCGCCCCGCGGCGGTGTTTTGAAGTCGGCCGCGGCCAACCGCGATGCAAAAGTCGATACGACGCAAGAACGCCATTGGTTGAACGAGATGATCACGGGACCGACGACGTGCGTCGCCTACGCGATTCTACAACAGCCGTTGCTTGCATTCGCACTTATTTATTTTGTTTCGATGTGTCCCTCTTTTGTTCTGGCCTCTTTTCCTCCTTTTTCTTTTTTGGTTTTTCTTGTTACTCATTCACTTTTATTGTTTCCGTCACTCCACACATCATGTAGGTACAAACTCGCTTACGTTACGTTACGTTTTTCTCTCGTTGCTGCCAGTCTTTTGGATTGGGTAGGTCGGGATTAGACATCCTTCGCTTCCATAAGTACTTAATATAAAAATAAAGGACAATTTTTTCGACAAAATGTTTCTGAAATGATATCTGCGTCACTTATGTACGCAGGATGTAACAGGTGTACATGATGTAACACAAATAAGCGCTGAGCTTGCAGGAGGTGATAGAGCACTATGAAACATGTAAATTAAGTAAATGTTTGTATGTTCTATAGTTCATCATTTTCGAGAAAAACGTAGTTTAAAATACAGGTAAATTCAAATCCGGCCCTGGCAGAGAAATACGGCCCGCTACGCTGCACACTGATTATCAGCATCGGTGTTGTATTTGCTTTGTATTTCCTTATGCATTGTTTATTTGTTAAATTAGGTTAAGTGTGATTATGTTAACAACCAACCTTTAGTAACCGTTCATCATTTAAAACATGACATGGCATGATACATTTTTACGGGTTTAAACCATACCACTGCTGTAAGGACGAAAGCCTCGGAGATGTTGCTGCATACTTATCATTTGCAGTTTTTCTTGAAACTGATATTCAGCTGCAAGTTGATTTGTGTCGATGGTTTCGAAAGGAAAGCATTGAAAGGAAAATAAAATGAAGGGATAGAACGATAGTGGTACCCTACAAACTTATTGAAGTACAATATAGTCATATGCGACGATAGTATAAGCCTGATTCGATGATTTTAATATGGAAATGTGTGACGATAATCATTTAGAGTAAACGTTTGCGATTTGGGGTTTAAGAGTTAAGTTATATAGGGATATAATTTGTATTCTTTTAATATATTTGCTTTTATCAATGTCTTGACTACTTAGCAGACTATAGTAGCCTTTTTAAATAAATAATCAGTACTTTGTTTTTTGATTAGCTTTTACTCTTATTGCCGATATTCCACCAATTTTATTTGCTTGCTTATCCGTTGTATTTCATTATTATATATAAGTATTTTTGAATGGATCTGCAGACTTTTTCACCAATTTGTGTGATAATACATAATATCCAATTTTGCAAAGCTTCTTCTTTGACTATTACAATCAATTAATTCCTATTAAGTTCTTCGTTTTCTTTTATCTTTGATGCATAAGTCCATGATTTTCACACAAGGGTCAATTCTTGAGTTCATCTCGTGTGTGTTTTATATGCAAATTTTTCAGCTTCGCACAAATTCAACCTGCTCAATTTTCACACGGTTGAATTTAAATATAAATGAGCAGCAAGTTATTGAGGGTCATCGCGATCTCCGTGTGCTTTTATGACGATGGGTGTAGGTATGTATGGTCAAGCAAGTAGAGGCATGCATGTGCGTAATACCTGGATCTAAGTGACCCCTCATCGGAAAAAGAAATTTATCAGAAAGGGAGACAAATAACACCTCGTTTAATTCGGAACCGGTTAGATAAGGAGTTTGGATCACTATCAAGTCAGTCTTTACACGAACTTAGTACGAACAAGTTCATTTAGAGTACAATATTTAATTTTATTTTTTCGCGAAAAGAAACCGGTGGTTTTTTCCAACACAATATATTTACGACTGGTGTAACTACTTCATTATTAATTATAAATAATCGGCATATTGGACCGCAGCATCCCAAAGTCGAAGTTGATTTTTTCTCCAAACGATCATCATATAACGAAGATATTGTTTAAAAGAAAGCAACTGATGTAGAAGAAGTTATAAACGTGAGTATCACTTGTAATATCGAGTTTTAGTGCACGGTGTGGTTATTTTTCTCCACCTATTGGTGTAGCACATGCATGCATAAGATTGTTAAACCGTAGACCTTTCACATAGATGGAAATTAAGATTTAATTAACTATAAGATTTAAGAAAATATTACTCCATATCTTGAGATATGTCGTTTTTGCTGTCAATGATTCGTAAGTGAAATTCCTATTGAAAAAATCTGGCAAAAAGGCCTGAAAGTAATCTATTGACATTGTATTACGTTTTCTTAAGACATAAAGTGCAAAAGGTATCACATTAGTTTTTTAATATATCAATCCCCAGTAATTAAATAGAAAAAGAAGAAGAATTCAAAAATTGAAGAAAAAGTAGTAGGAAACTAGATACTCACCTTCAGTTGTTATAAAAAGTAGGTA